ATAGACACAGAGAGGTGAAGTTTAAACTGGAGGCAGAGGTGACTGTCTCACACAAATATCTAAGTAGCAGGATTTGGGTTTTCAGGAAGACTCATCCAAGGAGTCAGCCAAATTTCCTTCAGAATGCTGGCAGCATGTCCAGTTCTGGGCTCCCCAGTTCAAGAGGGACAGGGATCTATGTGAGAGAGGCCACCGGAGGGCTATGAGGGTGTTTAAGGGACTGGAACACTTGTCCTATGAGGAAAGGCTGAGGGACCTGGGACTTTTCAGTCTAGAGAGGAGAAGACTGAGGGGGAATCTAATTGATGTCTATAAATACATGAGGGCTGGATGTCAAGAAGGCAGGGACAATCTCTTTTCACTTGTGTCCTGTGACAGGACAAGGGACAATGGATTCAAACTCGAGCACAGGAAGTTCCATGTCAACATGAGAAAGAACTTCTTTTCTGTGTGTTACAGAGCCCTGGAACAGGCTGCCCAGAGAGGATGTGCAATCTCCTCTGGAGACTTTCAGGACCTGTCTGGATTTCTTTCTGAGTGCTCTGCCTTAGTTTTTTGGGGTTTTTTTTGGTCCTGCTCTGGCAGGGGGCTTGGCCTCGATGATCTTCAGAGGTCCCTTCCAACCCCTAATATTTTGTGATTCTGTAGCAGCAAAGGTAATGATGGCTTCAGAGGCAATGTGGTCAGCAGTGGTGGAATCCCTGTGGACATGAGGTCCAATACCCTTGGCTTAAGGAGAAATGCAGCCCCCTCAAAAAAAAAAAAAAAAAGGGCCACAATAATTTTCAGGAAGGGCAGGGCTACAATGGAACTGCTGGATAAGACTTCCATAGGTGGGGGCAGATGTCACAGCTCCACAGCAGTGAGGAAGCTGAGCAGAAAATATGCCAAAAGATATATAAAACTGTTTTAAGAGAGGTATCAGGGCAGAGGTTTATGGGAAAATTTGAACTCTCTGGGGAAAGGTGAAGACCCTCCATGCCCTAGAGTAATCAATGAGTATGAGGTAGGTCCATTCAGTGCAATGGCATTGCTGGGAGCAGGGGAATGCAGATCTTCTACATCTGGTTTTGTATTTTCTGGAGATTTTAATTCTCCTTCTCCAACCTTATACTCATTCCCCAGCAAACTGTCAGTAGCTTTGACGGAAACATTGCAGGATCTGGCAGTTTCCATGGCGGTAGCATAAGTTGAAATGGAGTTTCTTCTTGGCTTAATATTAGCCAGGATCGGGACATTAACACAAACAGAATGAAGCCCAGGGAGCCAGGGCGAGGCATCTGATTTTTGCTTTCTGCTCCTTGCTCCATCACTCAGAACACCTCAGGACTTGTGTCTCTTGAGTTGATCTTGACTGTTCTTTGGACACCTTGAACTCCAGTGATCCACCTTAGCTCCCTCCACTCTCTCTGGAGAGTGTCTTCAACTACTCCAAAGCCCTTCCCTCTATCCTTGCCTCTGCATCTCACTCTTCCCCTCTCTCTCCTACTTTCCCAGTGTCTTTTTCATCCAAAACAGATGCTGTTTCTTAGGTGCCACATCCTTCCTTGGCCACACTCCTCTCTAGAGGCCTCTCATCTGTGCTTTGGACAAGGAGGAAAGAGGAGGGCAGGAAAAAATTATCTATTAAGGCAACTGGAGAATTTCCTGGACCTAAAGAAATTTTGCTCAAAGGCTGGAGAAGGAAATGTGCATTGCAATCTGTTGCTCTCTGAATTAGATTTGAAGATTTATCCAATACAGGATATTGGATAAAAGAAGGAAGGCAGGAGGGTGGTCTACCTGGGGATCCTTTCTGAGAGATTCTAGTGCCTGAATGCAAGAGGAGTCATCTGGAAAGACATGCTCCAAGGAGAGTTTACTTTGCTTTGGAAAGCTAGGTATTTTACTCTCTGAACAAGCCCCTTCCAGAACCAGGAAACATTAGGGCAAATGTTCCCATCATTTAAGTCTTATCCCCACTTCCCATTTCAGATTGAATAAGAAGGACACAGCAGTAGTCAGATATACCCACTTTTTAACACACACACATCTTTGTAAGGGCAGGTCTGACCCGGCCCCTTCCGTTGTGCTCAAAAGAGGCCAAGCTGCCGGCAGGACCCCATGTATGCTCTCTAGAAAATGAAGGTGGGTAATTAAAAAATTACTTTGGGTAATTATCCAGACTGTCTTGAAGGACTTTGGTAGCCCTGACTATTCTTGTCTGGGTCATGGGATACACTCTGGCAGATGGCTGAGAGTCCAGAGTGTTCTGTACTTCTCTTTGGTCTCTCACTGGGATATTTTAGCAGGGAACTGCCTAAAACCAAATAGTTCCTGGGGACAAGGGAGGTCAGATGGAGTGTTTTTTAACCTCACAGCCCTCAATCAATTTTTCTTCCACGAGTTTTTTTTTGAGGCCATATTAACCTTTTGCTTTGGCAAAAAAACCCTCAGAAGAGGGTTCACAGCTTTCCTAAAAGAGGAGGAATTGTCCTTCACTTGCTTTGAACCTACCAAGCCCCCTAGCTTTGTTTGCTGCCCTTAATTCTTGTACAGGAAGAGACAGCAAGCAATCCACCCTTCTCCAGTTTCCCCATGCCATTCACAATTTTACACACCCCTGTCATGTCTTACCTCCTCCATCTCTTTAGGAGACTGAGATTCCAAACCTTTGATATGGCTGAAAATAGAAGACACTGAAGAAAAGTGCAGACAGAGAGGACAAGGCGAGAGGCTAGGACAGGGTCCTAGAAAGGGCCCTCAGCCTCTCAACTAGAGATGTGCTGGGTACACAGCAGCAGACTGGAAGTTTTAGAGAGTTGAGCCAAGGGTTCCTGGGGTAGTAGAAGTCAACAGGGAAGTACTGGAGAAATACCACAAAGGAATTACAGCCAGTAAGTCAGCTTGATCAGGAGCCCAACTAAAATACCTCTATGCAAACATGTAGTATGGGGAATAAACAAGAAGAGCTAAGAGACATGCATGTGCTTCCAGTGCTAGAATCTTATTGACATAATAGAGACCTGGTGGGATGACTCCTAGGACTGGTGTTTTGGAATGGAAGGTTTAGGAAGGATAAGCGGGGTGGATGAGAACCTGATGTCACCCTCTATGTCAGTGACCAGCAGTGTGCAGGGAGTTCTGCCTAAGGGTGGTTGAACAGGTGACTGAGAGCTTAAGGGTCAGGATTAAAGGAGTACAGAGCAACTATTGAAGCAGCCAGAGATCAGATTAGAAAAGCTAAAGCCCTCATAGAATTAAATCTGACCAGGGACATCAAGGGCAAAATGAAAAGCTTCTATAGGTATGTTGGAAGGAAGACTAAGGACAATGTGGGGCCTCTCTGGAAAGAATACTAAGACCTGATTACCTGAGATACAGACAAGGCTGAGGTACTCAATGACTATTTTGCCTCAGTCTTCACCAGCAAACTGCCCAAGTCACAGAAGGAAAAAGACAGGGGCTGGGACAATGAAGAGCTGCCCTCTGTAGGGGTAGATCAGGCTCGAGACCATGTATGGAGCCTGAAGATGCACAAGTCCATGGGACCTGATGAGATGCATCCCTGGGTCCTGAGGAAACTGTCAAATGATGTTGCAAAGCCACTATCCATTAGATTTGAGAAACTGTGGCCATCCAGTGAAGTTCCCACTGACTGGAAAAGGGGAAGCAGAACTCCTGTTTTAAGAAGGGAAGAAAAGAAGATGTGGGGAACTACGGGCCAGTCAGTCTCACCTCTGTGCCCAGCAAGATCATGGAGCAGATCCTCCCAGAAACTATGCTAGGCACATGGATTATAAGGAGGTGATTTGCATCAATCAACATGGCTTCAATAAGGGCAAATATATGCCTGCCCAATTTTGGTGGCCCTCTATGAGGAGGTTATAGTGCTAGCAGGTAAGGGAAGAGCCACATGACAACCTTGTATCTAAATTGGAGAGACGTGGGCTTGATGAATGGACCACTCATGGACAGATGGTTGCACTCAGAGAGTTGCAGTCAATGTGTCACTGCCCAACTGGGGATCAGCAATGAGTGGTGCTCCTTGGCCGTTAGTGTTGGGACCGGTGCTGTTAAACATCTTTGTCAGTGACGTGGTGACGTCTTTGTCAGCTGTGTGGTGCAGTTGACATAGTGGAGGGAAGGAATGCCACCCAAAGGGAACTTGACAGGCATGACAGGTGGACCCATGAGGAGAAAGACTTGGGGGTGTTGGTTGATGAGAAGCCAAATATGAGCTGGCAATGTGCACTTGCAGCCAACAAAGCCAACCTTATCTTGGGCTGCATCAAAAGAAGTGGGACCTGCATGTTGAGGGAGGCAATACTCCACACTTGCGAGGCCCCGCTTGGAGTGCTGTGTCCACTTCCAGGGCCCCCAGCATATGAAGGACATGGAGCTGATGGCAAGAGTGCAGAAGAGGGCCATGACAATGGTCAGAGGGCTGGAACAGCTCCCCTAGGAAGAAAGGCTGGGAGCGTTGGGGTTGTTCAGCCTGGAGAAGAGAAGGCTCTGGAGGAACCTAAATGCAGACTTGCAAACCATTACCCATTGCGAGGGTAATGGTTTAAAGCTGAAAGAGGGTAGATTGAGATTGGACATTGGAAAGAAATTCTTTACTGCAACAGCTTGCCCAGGGAGGTTATGGATGCCCCCCCTCCCTAGAAGCATTCGAGGCCAGGTTGCTTTGAGCAACTGGGTCTAGTGGAAGGTGTCCTTGCCCATGGCAGAGGGTTTGCAACTAGATGACCTTTAAGGCCTCTTCCAACCCAAACCATTCTATGATTCTATGGAACCCCTCTGCTTTAATGCTCCTGAGAAGCTTAATCTCTGCCAGCTCATGGTCTCACCAGGTTTTCCTTTCCCAGGATCTTGCATCAGCCAGTACAAATGTATTTAGCTTATCTGAGCCCAGTGATGACACAGCTGACCAAAAGACTTGAACTAGGAACATGTACTCCTGGAAATGCAAGCTGCCATTTGCTCATATCTAGCACAGCTGTGCTCCATTCAACAACCCTCCTCCCTCCTGTGGCCCTGGAGCCACCAGCGTTCTGCTGCAGCATCACTGCATTACAGGAGAGATTACTTGCAGCTGCAGAAGTAGCTCCAGGAGCGTATTTTTTGAAAGACCCACAGACAAGCCTTGCAGTGGGTCTCTGGAATGTTGAACAGCATTTAGCAGATGAGGGTATTTGCTTTCCAGGAAGGGAGGGATTTGTCATCCTCAAGAAAGGAAGGAGGGGCAGGAAGAGCTGTTCCAGTTTCAACCTGAATGCACAGGAGTTTCTTCATCCTTCACAGTTTTCACAGAAAGGCCTGAAGGGCTGTTCTGAAGCAGTCTTTCTGCTGGATGATCTCAGCATCACAACCACCCTGTTTGACTTCACGTGAGATCAGTTTGCTCCATGAGTTGCTGTGCTGGCATGCACGCTGGAGTTCTGGGATTCACAGGAGCCTCTAAAAGGGGCCCCTGAGAGGCAAACAGGAGAATGGGAGGGCCTTAGGTTCCCTGGGTGTCAGCCATCAAGGACTTAGGAACACAAGAACCGCAGGAACTATGACCCAGGACTTTTGCTGACAGCTCTGGCTGTAGCCTGGGAAGAGGTCAGGAGAAGCAAGTAGCATAGAGAGTCTCAGAGAGACCCTTTCCTACAAGGCAGTTACCAGCCAGCCCTATGTTTACAGTCATTTGAGGTTACCCCATGTCTTCCAGGAGCTAATGTGATGACCATGGTAGCTCCTTGGAAAATGATTATTCATGCAACACATTAAACTTCAGCAAACTCAGCATCATGACAAAAGTTATCACTCTTTCAGAGAAGGATTTCAGAAGATCTCACTGCTTGTGTTCACAGTATTTTTGTTTATACAGATTGCATCCATAAGCATCAATGTTATGCTGAAAGTCTTCTGTGAAAAAAAACTAGTGTTTATAGACCTTTCCAAAGCTTAATAAAAAGCGTGGCTCAGTACTTAGGCTGATACGATCAGATTGGGAGAGAGAAATCAGGGGGGAGAGAGATCTTTCAAAGAGATGTGGAACACATTCCCACATTTGAACCACTGAACTTGGGAGGTTGCGGAGGCAGAGAATAGGTTTTCTTACTCACTTATTGAAATTAATTTTGAATAATTTCATTTGGGAAAACACTGTGTTCTGTATGATAATGCACACACACACACACCTTACTCAAGGAAAATAATTTTTGAAAAAACCGTGACAAACTTAACACTGAGCTTCTTTATTTTTCTGGTTTTAGGGATTTGGGGGTTTTGGAGAAGGGATTTGGTGTTTTTTTGTGGAGGCAGGGTTTGTTGTTGGTTGATTTGTTGTTGGTTGTTTGCCTCTTTTTTATTATTTCTTTTTTCTTCAGAATAAACGTGCAGCATCTTACTGTCCATTAGCTAGAACATCCAGCTTCCAGTAAAAATCCCATTTTTAAGAATGACACTGTCAACACAGAGGAGACTCAGAAGAGTTGGAGGATTGCTGTGAACAGGTACTGCATGTAAGAATGAGGCAGACAAACAACTTCACATCTTCCAAAGCGCAAAGGTATTTTTAAATTGAAGGCTGCCCTCTGAAATAATTTAAAATAGCTCTCTATCTTAGGAAAGGTTTATGGTTAACTGATATGTTATTTGCACTTTCTCCCAGTGCCTGTTAATGCCCACGTTTGGATCTTCAGATTTTCCACTGTGTACTTTTTGTCGGAATAAAACCTTGGACTAGAGATAAGGCGATTTCAAAAAATGTATTTCTAGCAGCTCACACTTCCATTCCACCAGTCTGGGCTCGAGGCTGTGTCAAGACCATGAAGTACATACTCTTTCTCGCCTTTGTTGGTGTGGCTGGTGAGTATATTTTTTTACTTTTTGCTGATGTCGTTTATGAGGAAGATAATTTTCTGAGCAACTTTGCAAAGTAGTCTGTTCAGGGAAAGTGAAGTCCAGTTTCAACCTGTAGAACTTTTAAGGGAGAGCACTGCAGCTTCTTTTGGCTGCTGTCTCTTTGTTTCACTTAATGTGGCTCTTGACTGAGGAATAATGAAACGCGTACATAGCTTCAAAAAACACTGTCTCTCTCTAAGGACTATGATGGTGCAAGATAACACCTCTGAAGGATAACTCACAATAGTTACCTCAGAAAGATAACTCAGGAGGTCCTAAAGATGCTGTCAGTTTTTTGAGTAAGGGCAGGTGCTCCATGGAAATGCCACCGCAGACTTGCTTTTTACTTGCGCTCAGTCCACTGTTGGCTGCTACTGCAGACAGGATTCTGGGACAGACCCACCTTTGGAGCAGCAAATTAACATCCATTAGACTTGCCCAGTGCTGCTACCATGAGATTATGCAGAAGAACAGCCTACAAGTGAGAGGCTTCAGTCAGTCACAGGGGAACAAGACGCCTTATGCCAGGTGTTGACATATGCCACTTCTTGTCTCCCAGTTGCCTTCCCCATCAACAGTGATGATGATGACGACAAGATCGTGGGAGGCTACACCTGTGCAGCGAACTCTGTCCCCTACCAGGTGTCCCTGAATGCTGGCTATCACTTCTGTGGAGGTTCCCTCATCAACAGTCAGTGGGTCGTGTCGGCTGCTCACTGCTACAAGTCGTGAGTGGAAAAAAACTTATTCTTCTGTAATCTATTTCTTTCTTCCAGTTCACTTCTAGCAGGAATTCTGAGTGGAGACGTTCACCTGTGCAAGCGACTGCATTCTAACAGAAGGCAACCAAGAAATGGGTGACTCATTCAGGAAGCCGGGCTGGGACATCATAAGGGGTTTTCCACTTCTGCAAACGTTTCTGTGAATGTAGAGCACTTTCTGAAACGACAACGTGATGATCTAGCAATGAGTTGCAGGCTGTCCTTCCTTATAGATCACCTTAATCTTGCTACAACTTAGTCACTAGAAGACAAGAAGAGGAGCGAGGTCAGGGTGATAGCAGTCTGCCTCTTTCCAGAATATTTCTGTCAGGCACTGTAGTATATGTAGCTTGTCCCAGCTCAACAAAAGAGACCTGGAGCAATTCACCATTTGTGCTGGTGGTGGGAAAGATCTCAGTGTGGATCCCCAGGACTTAGTGCAGGGCAAGAAAGATGACCTGCATGAAAAGAGCTACTACCATAGCAATGCTGAAGCGAGTGCATACAGTGACAAGGAGGTTTGTCACAGCCTGACGGCAGCAGTAAGTTATATGCCATTCCTTCTCTTTTACAGTCGCATCCAAGTGCAGCTCGGGAAACATAACCTGGCAAAGAAAGAACCAACAGAGCAGTTGATTAGTTCAGCCAAAGTCATCCGCCACTCTGGCTACCGCCCTTCGACACTGGACAATGACATTATGCTCATCAAGCTTGACAAACCAGCCCAGATCAACCGCGCTGTCCAAACCATTCCTCTGCCTACCAGCTGTGTGGCCACAGGCACCACATGCCTGATCTCTGGCTGGGGCAACACACTCAGCAATGGCAGTGAGTACTCATGAGGGCCCGGGGGACACTCACAATTGACTCCCAACAGTACTGGGAAGTGCTGTGGGACAGGAGTAGCTCTGACCTCCACACTTGCCCATGGATTATTTTCTAGGTATCCAAAAAATAAACACGGCTGCAGTGCAGAAGGGGGACCCATGGGTAGAGTCTGTTCCGTCTAAACAGCAGGAA